TGTATTTGCTATTCTTTGCAGGGCTTTGTGGGATAGAGGTGGGCAATTGACAGATAGCAATGGAAGAGGAAAACCTAACCCTCAGTAAGTCAGATCCTTCCTGGGGTTAGCAGTAAACTATATGAAGTTCATCCCAAACTATGCTAAAGTCGCTGCTCCACTGACTGATCTGACCATGATAAGCCAACCCAACAACCACAACAGATGGCATGCCAGGTGCATCAGACATTAGAATTGGAGCAGTACTTCTGCAAGCGCATGTAGATGAACTGTTTTCCATAATGTATGTCAGTAAAATGTTGTTGAGTAGTGAGAAAAAGTATCCTGTGATTGAACAGTGTTTTGTCATCATTTTTGCCATCTGGAAATTCCAGAACTACCTCTACAGGAAAGAGTTCATCTTCAGACAGACCATCATCCCCTTGCATACATCCAGAAAGGCAAAACTGACAGTGTGAGGATCATGAGGTGGGCATTGTACCTCCTGAACTACTGGTTCCACATTGAGGCCATCAATGGGACTTTAAACGTTGGTGCAGATTGTATGAGTAGACTTTGAGCATAAACTGAGAATTGTCTTTGTATATAGTACAAAAATACTGTAAATATTTTTCTTGAAGAGGGGCTTATTGTTAGATATAAACGAGTTTCTCAGTTTAAGTTTAATGCAAGCATTATGGTATAGATAGTTTATATAGCATTGGTGTCATATTTAATTATTTTTAGTACTGATATTTTATGGTAAATCATGTAAGTTAAACTGTACCAAATACAGGATTGAAATTACTTAAAATCCAAGCATGCATTAACAAAGTAAACAAAATATAGCACAGATATTAACATGCCAACAGTTATCCAATTAAACCTACGGTCCAAGTGACTCATGACTATTTTATCAGCTTTTCCACCAGCTTCTGTGAAAATTCGTAGAATTTCCTCAGGTGCATTTTCATCTCTTCCAGGATGAATGATTACAGGACATTTTAATTCTGATTGAACAAGTCCTGCAGCTTGGAGAACTCTCTTCTCAAAATCTAAAAGGAAAGATTACAAGATATATGAGAATTCAATGATAAAACTTTTAATACATAGAAAAAAATACATTGTGTGACATCCATTTGATCAAAGTTTCAATGATCTATATAAACATTTGCCTGTAAATGGTGATTTCAATGTCTACAAAGATCTTAAATGTGCCTAAAGACTTCCTTTTCAAAGTCCAGAGTGATTATTTTTAGTTTTTCAAGTCTATGAATATTAAATATTTTGAAAGCTCTTTCTTGTATGATAGGATGGAAAGATTAAAATGTATCTATTCTCAAAACTTAGAGAGAATAATTAACCTTTTGCAGTGTTCACTACTAATGGGATCCATGTATTGCATCAAATTGAATAATTTTATGTTTTTGCTTCTTACAATACTCAGTGTAAAAAACTGGCAAAAAGAAATTGAGCGAATCTGCTCATGTCAAAACCTAGAAGAATCCCAGCAACAATTAGTAGGATTAAGTAAAAAACTGAAGGTATATTCAAAAAATTTTGCGACTCAAAGGTAAACAGCAATCCTGTAACCAACAAAGTTAAAGACCCACAAGAAATTGGATGAATATATAGTTTAGAAAAATGTATTTGGAAAAAAATTAGTAAGTGCATGGGAAGTATGTTTGACAAGTGTATAAAAACTAAGGTGTGTCTGCTAGTACAAAAAAGTATTTCACTAAAAGTATGAAGTATCATTATCCCAAACAAGTTGTTAACAGAATGTTCTTTGAAGTTTAACAGAGAATAAACCAAGCTCTTATGTTGAAATGTAGCAGATACAGGATTGAAATTACTTAAAATCCAAATATGCATTAACCAAGTGAACAAAAAATAGATATTAACATGCCAACAATTATCAAGTTAAACCCATGGTCCAAGTGACTCATGACAAAATCAGAAGATTGTTAACAGAGTGTGGTATTCAGGTTCATTGATGCCCTGCAAAAAATATTTCAAAGTATCTTCAAAACATAGGTTTTGGACAGTTAAACAGAGAATAAATCAAGCTTTGATGCAAAGGTAAGAAACACAAGTCAACAAATAAACAAAATGTTTATTCACAGTGAATAATGTGTTGTCAAATATATTCCACTTACTGTTCAGCATCTAATCTATTTGCCATTTAACTAGCAGCAGGAGTTGAAAAACAGCATCTTTCTGTAAAATGTCTGTGCTGGAGAAAGACAAAGCAAGTTCTAGTTTACTATGAAATTCAGTCATAAAAATGGATGGAATACCAAGATCTACCATGCCAATCTGTTGAAGAGTTATTTCGAGAGGAAAGAAGACCTAATGGGTGCAGTAATTGACACACAGATGAACATTGAAGATGTGGCTGTTACATA